TTTTTTTTTTTTTTTGTGGAACCGGGGATTGAACTCAGGCCCTTACACTTGCCAGGCAAGTGCTTAATCTACTGAGCCATCTCCCTGGCCAAGTTTTTAAAAGTTATAAGCAATATATATAATTATATTGGTGATAACAAAGGTGAGTCTGCAACTGTTAGAATTGGCTAGGGTGATTTGGGGAGGTCGAGGTAGAGGGGTGAACTTGTACTTTCTCCAGTAATTTCTATGCTGTTTGAATGTTTCATAATGAAAATCTACTACCTTCTTATTTAAGACTAGTTTAAAGAGAGAACATGTCCCCGAGGCAGCTCACCGAGGTAGACAAAGTAGGGAGCGATGATGCTGCCCACCCTGGAGGCCATGGAGGCGATGCCCACTGCCATGTTCCTGACCAGCGTTGGGTAGAGCTCTGCGGTGAAGACGTACAGCATGGAGAAGGCGGAGGTGACCCCAAATTTCCCCAACATCACCAGACCAATGGACAGGTAGCTGTAATCTGGAAAAGAGATCCATTACAGATCCATTAAGGGCGCAGGTGTGCCCTTCACACCTTTTGCTTTGATGGGGAGTTCTCATTAACATAAAGTAGTCCCAGAAGGCCGTTTTCTCTTCTCTAGCCTAAGCATGGGACTTGGCCAGGGATGGAGCGCGAGGAGGACTTGTACTTTGTTCTCTTGTTCTTCTGGAGCATTAATACACTCAGTGACCTTTGCCTGCTTGTTTTTTATCTGTCACGAGGGTTTCTTGGAAAGTTGTTAACATGTTTAATATAGTTAATTTTAATCTTTAGGGAAAGACCAATCATTTCTACACTCTTCCTTGTTGTTAAGGAAGATATTTCTATGTGCACCACTATGTGTCTGTTGACAATATTTTCATGCTATGAGAAAGGCAGAAGAGGAAAACGGGAAGTTTGAATTTCTTTGTATGCTACTTAACTACTTAAAGGTTCAGACCATAAAAATCACCAAACATACACTAGAACCAGCTGGCATTACCAATGTTAATACTTGAGCATACGATTCAGAGAAAAGATTGTAGACAGTACCAAGAAATTTGGACACATGAGTGTGACTCAGAGAGAGGTCTGAGAGTTTACGTAGAATCTGTGAAGAGGAGTACGAGGAGGCTTTCTCTTCTTTTGCGGTGGGTGATTTCTTATTCCCCAAGGCCAAATCTTCCATTTGAGAGTAGTTGATCAAGAACCACGACTCAGAGCAGCCTAGCTGATGGGTGGGTTTTGGTTAACTTCTTACCTAGAGGCACCAGCTGAATTAAGAGGAGCACACCTCCTCCGAAGCAGAGAACCCCAGCTATGATATAACGCCTGGGCAGCTTGCGCAGTAACAGCCAGGCCATAACGTAAGCTGGAACTTCAATCAAGGCAGAGAGGAAACAGTTCAAGTAGGCATCTCCATGTAAATTGGGGACATTGAGAGACAGGGCGAAGTAGCCCACGGAGGTTAGCATCCTGAAAGATAACGAACAGAAGACAAAAATGGCAAAAGCACAGCCTGAATCATCTGAACATTTTGAGAGTAAGGAGATCTTCTCGATCTTGCTGTCCTATAGGCAGCCACTAGCCACAGGAAGCTATTTTTTTTTTTTTTTTAGGAAGCTATTTTTTAAGAAAAATATTTATTTACTTATTTGGTATGGGGTCTCACTGCGCAGCTTCGACTTGTAGTGATCCTCCCGTCTCGGCCTCCCAAGCACTGAGGTTACAGGTATGTGCCAGCACACCCAGTTCTGGTGGCCAGCACAGTGTGCCTGGGGTCTAGGGCTGGCATGGCATGCAGTACAGGGGCTCGAACCCAGGTCCTTGCGCTCGCCAAGCAGGTGCTCGCCACTGAGCTATCTGTCCAGCCAGGCAGCTATTTTTGAACAAATCAAAACTGATACAGTTTGAGTTTCTCCATCACACCAGCCACACTTGCGATGCTCATTGCCACTTGCAACTGGCGGCTACTCCTTTGCTCGGCACAGCTAGGAAGCGTTTCATCTTCACAGAATTAAGAGGCGCACACCTCCCACTAGACAGTGCAGCGCCAGATGCAGCAGCCCCCACGGTGCACGCGTCCCGTCTAGAGATCTGCTCATTACTAACACGACCCCAAAGCCGAATATCTGAGGAAGGTTTTCAGCACTATTGTTGGATCTTTATGATATATTAGACCAAGTGGGGGTAGCGCAAGGACTCATTCACAACCAAAGGAAAAAGTAACCTTTCTGGCCCTAGGGATCTTACTGATTTTCAAACTGAGGAATCACAACAGCCTGGATGGAAGCTGTGGCTCCCGGGTGGCAGGCTGCCTGGCTGCCGCCGAGGCGCGCTTGAACCCGGGCTGGTGCTGGCGAGGCTGAAGCAGCCGCAGGGAGGTCAGCCGCGTAGCAGCCGAGCGCGCGCTCGCTTGCGTAATTCAGAGGCATAAACCCCATCCCTGATTTTTTTTGAATTGCGAAATAAGCTGGTTCTTTAATGATTTTTTTCTTTACAAGAATTTTTGGACAATTTCATTTTTGTGTATCTTGGTATGATTTTATTTAAATGTCTTTGCAAAAGGTTCATTTTTGTGGAAATGTGGTATTATAAGTTGAACTAAATTCAGAAATTTTAAATCTTTAAATGTTTATTGCCTACTCCTACTTTGAGAATTCTAATTATATGAATATAAGTTTCTTGGTTTTGACACAATGAACTATTATCACTGATCTGTAAATTCTTCATTTTTATTTTGGACAGTTTTTATTGTTATATTCATTTATGTTTGTAAATAATTTATTTTCAACTTGCAATCTATTAAAAATAAAAAATTAAATTAAATTTAAAAATGAATAAATAAAATAAGCTGGTTCTACAAGTAGATTAGCTGCTGCCTGAATCTACCAATTCTGAGGATGAAAGATTTTCTTTCTTTTCTTTTCTTTCTTTCTTTCTTTCTTTCTTTCTTTCTTTCTTTCTGTCATGGAGCAAGCAGGTACCTTTTCTTCTTTCTTTTTTTTCTTCCTCATTTCTTGGTAGATGCATTACTTTTATTTATTTATTTATTTATTTATTTTAATAGTCTTTTTTGAGGCAGGGTCTTGCACAACTGTTTGGGCTGGTCTTGAGCTCACTTTGTATTCCAGTCTGGTCTTAAGATCCCAGTGATGGTCCCTCCCAAGTGCTGGGATTACAGATGTGCGCCACCACCCCCGGCAGGGAAGGTGCATCGCTAAGTCTGATCTGCAAAGCCCATCCATTATTTCTGCATCTTAAAACCACACAGTTTGCTACTGGCAAGTGTGTGGAAAGTGGGTCAAGATTCTGGCTCCAATAGTGGGTCCAGGTTACCTTACCCTTTTGCTCCACTGCTGGTTCAGCTTCAGTGTGGGAGGCTATTAACTGGTATCCATTTTATAATGTGTCAGCCGTCTTCTTAAGTTTCTATTCCCCTGCTGAGTTAAGTTTCTGGTCCTTCTCACCTTGTCCATTCCCCTTGAATCACGTGCAGTGCCCCAGGGGTTGCACCTTTCCCTGTTGCCTAGATACCTGCTGACCCCAAGAGCCGAGACTTCTTCATTCCTACACTCCCTATATATACCCAGCACCTCCCCTGAATAAACGAGACTTGATCAGAATCCTGTCTTGTCTCCATTTCTTGCGTCTCCTGTCCTTTGTCCCCTCTTCAGTTCCCCGCTCCTCCCCCAGGTGAGCTTCGTTGACTGACCCGCGGGTTCGGGACACTTCAGGAAGCAGGAGCTGAACTGGCCCCTCTGCTTCAGGCGTCAGGGACACCTTTGCCCTTACTCGTACAGCCTCAGAAGGGAGGGAGCCTTCGTCCTGTGGGCCCCGGGACTGCATGCGTAATGTTCCCTTTTCACCCCCTTTTTGTAACGAGTCCCACAGACCAAATGGAGGCATTTCTGAGCACCTTCCAGCTCTGGACTTTCTGTTCTGTCTTGGGACGCCCCCAGCCTCACCCTGTTTTCCTGAGCGGAGGAGTGGCAGGTGCATACTCAGCTGCTGCGCCTGCTTCTCCAGCCCGCTTATTACTCACCACAGCAGTAAAGACATAATGGTTATTTTGGCGACATTCCAGGTCTTGAACAGGTCCAGAATGAACACTTTGGGCTGCTTCAAGGAGTCGAGCTCCTGTAGCTAAAATAATGCAAATGACCATGAGTTTCAAAGGAAGACAGACGCGCCTGCAGCCAAGAGGCAGGCGCTCGGCATGTAACCCTTGATTTCACCTCGAACATGCTGACGAGCCTGGAGGAGCCCGAAGGGCCGCTCCACGTGCGATGCTTACCCTAACACTTTAAAATGTTTGTAGCCCATTTTGGACAGAAGCCTTAGAAATAGAAAACACCAGCCCCCAGTTCCATTCCAGACCTAAGATCTCTTACATCTCTCACTGACAGGCTGTGAGTGGCCTTGGTCACACTGATCTGTGATCCTGGAGGGTTGTCGAGTGGGCAGGCCACTGGGCCCCAAACTGTAGCCACGTCACTGGCTTCACCCTTTGCTTGCTGTCCCTTAATATCAGGGCAGACTCTGGCCAGCTGGGAGACACTGGACAAGTTACTGGTCACCTTCTCTGAGCCTCAGTCTACGTCTCTGTAAAGTGGATGAGTTCATTGGGAGGTGAGAAGATTAAATGAGACCACATATATGGAGCTTAGGATACGCAGAACTTCATAGGATATGCCCACTAAATTTTAACTGTTATTATTACTATCATTGCTGCCCGATCGATGAGAAGATTCTGGTCATCAGTGGTTAGGGTCCGTTTCTTACTTCTGCTAATAAATTTCATTCCTTTACTGTTTTTCTCCTTTTCACTGAGACACACGCTCCCTAGGTTGCCCAGGGTGGGTTTGAACGTGGAGTTCTTCAGCCTCAGGGTCCCGAGTAGCTGGGATTAAAGGCATGGGCCGCTATACTCAGCTCATTTCTTCCTTTTAATATGCTGGTTTAACAGCAAATAACCACTAGGAAGACAGTATGCAATGTGTTAATTATTGAAACTGTCCTACCAATTTAATTTGAAACTGTCTCATTGCTATTTGTCTGTCAATAAAATTATGGGAAAAAATAATATGCTGGTTTAACTTGCCATGAGTTATGATTTCAGATAACCAAGATGATGAGAACTAAAGCCAAAATAAAACTATAAGGTTGGATACGGGGGATCCTTGGAGATGACGTAGGAGGCCTCGTAGCCTGATGGCATGGTGCAGCCCAAGACCAAGAAAGGGGTTGTCTTAGGAAGGAGCGCAGCGGCCAGTCCCACCTTCGGGTCAGGCCCTGCGGTTAGCATTCTTCTCTCTGGACAGTGAGGCGCTTGCTCAACTGGCAGCGCTATTGCTTTTTCTCCCTTGCTGTCTGGAGAACATGCCCAGCAGTGTACAGCCTGGCTGTTAGTGACGCAAGGCTGCTGCATGAACTAGCAGGGGCTGGAGCTCCCCCGAGGACCTGAGGGTGCGGGCCTGGGCTCACACTGCACATATCCACAGGCACCTCCCTGAAATGCAGATTCCAGGGCTCGGAATGTAGGTCAGGGCCCGAGTGCTTGCCTAGCACATATGAGGTCCTGAGTTCAAGCCTAGCATTGAAGAGAGGGAGGAGGAGGAGGGGCGAGAGGAGGAGAAGGGGAAAGGAGAGGAGGATGGAGAGAGGCAGGACGGATGCATATATTTAGAACTTCTTGGGTGTCTACGATGAGTGGCCAGGTTGAAAACCTCAGGACAAAATTCTTGTGTCCAGGGGTTGCCTCTGGTATGGACGAAGCCACCAAAAGACAAGCAAGGTGCATGACCAGCTTGAGGGTGCTTCTTCAGAAGCCACAGAGACTTAAGACTGCCTCCCAAGATGATGGCGCTCTGTATTTTTTCGTATCCCAGTGAATGCCACTGCCTGTAACATATGCGGGGGCGGGTGTGTGTGTGTGCGTCTGTGTGTGTGTGTGTGTGTGTGTGTGTGTGTGTAGCTTATGGGAACATGAACCTCGATGTTAGAGAGTCCTAGGATGCAAATCCCACAATATCCGTGAGATTCTGGGCAAGTCGCTTACGTTCTTGGGCCTCAGTTTCCTCTTCTGAGAACTGAGACTAATGAGTCAAACTTCCTGCCTTGCCTGTGCTAGCCTCTTGACTATTGCTCTGAACAACCGCGCTTGCTGGCCCTGCAGGTTCTCCCGAAGGAGATGCTGCAGGGCGGGCGGAGGGATGAGGGCTTCGGGAAGGCACATGACCTCCTTCCCTCCAGAGTCCTGTCCTGACCAGGCTGTACGTCACGGCAAAGCAGAAGGCTGGGTTTTGATACCAAACCTTATTCTTATTTATTCATAGCTATATAGCTGTTTTACAATGCCTTCTATGTCAGTCTGGTCTCCACAGTTACACTGTGCATTTCTTGAAGACAGGAACCATGTAGACTACATATCCAATAAATACTAATAAATACACAGCTCTGGAAAATGCTGGTATTAAACACTCCCAGTGTTATTTTTGCAGTCAGTTAAGCTGACTAAAACTTGGGATGGACTTGTTGATTTAAAGGGCAATGGGCTTGGAAGATAGCTCAGAGAGGAAGAGGGAGAAGGAGAGAATGAGGGAGAGGGAGGAGAGGAGGAGGATGAGGAAGAGGAAGAAGAGGAAGAGAAGGAAGGGGAAGAAGAAAAGGAAGAGAAGGAAGAGGAAGAAGAGGAAGAAGAGGGAGGGAAAGAAGAAGAAGGGGAAGGGGAAGGAGAAGAAGAGGAGGAAGAGGAGGAAGAGGAGGAAGAGGAGGAAGAGGTAGAGGAAGAAGAAGAAGAAGAAGAAGAAGAAGAAGAAGAAGAAGAAGAAGAAGAAGAAGAAGAAGAAGAAGAAGAAGAAATAATAAAGGGCAAAAAATTGAGGATGTTTTGTTGTGGGCGGGCCTCTGAAAGCTTGGTGCATGCTGCTGTGGAGACGCCTCTGATGCAGCAGGCTACGCACTTCAGGAAAAGGTCCTGACAGCCAGGGAGAGAGGAGAGCCCTGGATGGAGCGCCGCCATCTCCGCGTCCTCCAAGGTTCTGCTTCCGGGTGGCCAGGAGTACAGCCGCCCTTGTCTTCTTCAGGTGTCCAGAGAGGCCCCTGCCCTCTCCTCACTGGGAGTGTCCTCTTCCATCCTCGCCAGTCACTGGAGGGAGTCCTACTGTCCTTCTGGTGTAGACCCACCTCTTTGTCCTGGGGCCACCCTGCTTTTTCTGTGCCCCTGGCACACGGCAAAGCCTCGGGCCTGTACTCAGAAGTCGTAAGGCCCTTAACATGCCCTGTAGCCGAGTGAAGTTTGGCACGTCTGCCTAAAAATGGTAATTACTTTTCACAGCAGGGGCGAGTAACAGTGGTGTTTCTCAGACACTCTTGGCCACAGACACTGCTACAGTAGGGACACTAGGTGAACTAACCCTCAAACACATTTTTCCCCATTTAATCTGGACATTTATAAATCATCAGTATGTAGTTGCATCAGTTTGGAGCAATGAGAATAAAAAAGCTAAGAATAAACTTGCAAAATGAAGTAAACTACTTGCTATTTGTTGAGCTCTCTCTCTCTCTCTCTCTCTCTCTCTCTCTCTCTCTCTCTCTCTCTAATTGAACTTAATTATTTTTTTAAATTTTGGTGGTGCTGGAGAACAAAGTCGGGGCCCTGTGCTTCTTGCCTTATGCAAGCTACGCTGAGTTCCCCAGCTATTGCTACGAACCTTCAAAATCATATGAGGACTCCTTCCCAGTGGTCTTTAAAGAGACCATGCCAGGTGTGGTGACTCAGGTCTATAATTCCAGCAGGCATGATTTTAGAATGTTACTTAATTCCGAAGTAGCCCTTTATGGGGGATTTTCTTTCTTTCTTTCTTTTTTTTTTTTTTTTCCTGTATTTAGGACAGGGTCTAGGGTCTACAAGGTCTCACTACATGGATCCGACTCATAGTGATTCTCCTGTTTTCAGCCTCCCAAGCACTGGGATTACAGGCGTGTGTCACCACACTCAGCCTCAATCACCATCTCAGCAAGCCCTGGGGGCAGGGCTGGCATGGCACGCCCAGGATCGAACCCTGGCCGCTGCGCTCTGCCTAAGCAGGTGCTTTAGTCCACTGAGCTCTCAGGCTAGCCCTATGGGGGATTTTTTAAGAGGCAGGGGTCTCTCTATGTTGCCTAGGCTGACCAGAAACTCTTGGGCTTAAGAAATCCTCCTTTCTCGGCCTCGCAAATAGCTGGGATGACAGAAGCCAACCACCACATCCGTAAGATTTTCACTGGCTCATAGAAATAATAAAAGCATCTTCATGTTTCAAAGTTCTGACCAAATTGTTTGCATTATCCCTGGAGCAGACCTGGTGGGTGTTTGAAGTCATCAGCTGCAGAAGACCATCAAAGGTGGAACACCCGTGTGGCTTCCAATGGGCGCCCGTGCGAGCCACCCGAACGTAATCAGGATTGTATTCCCGACACCGAGGCATACCTACATTGCCTGGTACCTGGCAGGCACTTCACAAATACTGAATTAAATTAAATTCCATAAAGCCGAGAGTGCAGAGCTGACTTTAGGAGAAAACACCTACAAATGCTTACCTCTACGGGATCAAATATCACTGCGGGAGCAGCCACATTGTTCATCTTTGCAGCTTTCTGGATGATCTCTTCGGCCTCTTTAAATCTTTTCTGGGATATCAGCCACCGAGGAGATTCAGGAATAAACCTGGAATTTATTTCCAACAGTTAATCATTTTCTACAACAGTAGTGGCTGACACTGGTATTTCTCAGACCCTCTTAGCCACAGACACTGTTATCTAGATCCTTTTAATTTTGAAAACTTCTAGTTTGTCTTTAGCTAAAATTCATTTATATACTAGTTTTGTGGTCCTGGGGATTGAACTCAGGGCTTCGTGAATGCTAGACAAGTGCTCTACCCCGAGCTATATCCCCACACCTATATTTGTAGTTTTGAGTGACACACAGTAATTATATATATGGCTGAGGTACACTGTGACATTTCAATGCAAGTATACTATGTGTAATAAACAGCTGATCTTCTTCATTTGTTTGAGACAGGGTCTCCCTGTGTAGTTCAGGCTGGTCTCGAACTCACTATGGAACCCAGCTTGACCTCCAACTCTCAGCGACCCTCCTGCCACAACCTCCAGAGATTGGGATCACAAGCGTGCACTGCTGCTTGTCTTAGGTGTGTGATGTTGGCCCACTGGAAGGGAGTCTGCTAAGATTTCCACTGGCTCACAGAAATAATAAAAACATCTTCAAGTTTCACATTTCTGACCAAATTATGCATAAGCCCCCAAGCAGACCACGACGGTGGCCTTCACTGTGGTATGTCTGAGGCCGGCAGCTGCCGAGGGCCATCACAGAGGAGTGGCCAGTGTGGCTGCGAAGGACCCAGCCCCTGGGCTGTAACAGCTCCAGACAAGACTGCCCCTTTCCTGCATCCCTTCCTGCTCACGCCTTCACCTTCCCTTGGTAGAGGACAGCCAGGGCCTGAGCTCCGCGTGCTTTTCCTGTCGCCAGGGGGTGGACGGGGCACTCTGACTGCCCTGGGTGGACGTGCTCCCTGGGCTGTCCCTGCGGCCTCCGCAGCTCACAGATCAGAGCTTCCAAAGCCAGTGTTCAGGAGATGAGTCTCCCTATACTTAATTTCTAAAGATTATATAGTCCAGATACATTTATAGCTGGTGTGCAAACACAGCTACAAATACAGGACTTTTTCTTTTCCTAATTTTTATTTCTCAGACACTCTTTAGCCATTCTCCCCCTAGGTCTTATTTTTCCTTTCTTAGGTATTAGTAAAACAGCTGCCCTAGAAAATCAATCACAAATAGCATACACAGAACCTTCCTACGATAGACCCCCCGGGCTGCACGGGCAATTAGCTCAGAGCGAGACCCAGTGTATCGCGGTCAACCCGCAGCTGCACTCCCCAGCGTTCTAGGATGTGGGTCGGAAAGGAGCCCAGGCTGCATTTTTCAGAAAATTCCCTTACGCTGGTCCCCGTAGGAACTGTGATGATGTTAGGTCACTGACCTTCAGTAATTGGAGCTGAGTTGTCTAATAAAACTTCTGTAATACGCAAATCTGCACTGTCCAGTACAGCACACACTAACCACATGTGGTTATTAAGCTCATATAATTAGTATGACTGAAGAAATGGAAACATAACTATATTTGCTTTTAATTAATTTGAATAGCCCCATGTGGCTGGTGGTTACTGCATTAATCAGTACAGAATGAATCTTACTACACAGCCACCATCGTACTCCAGGCTGCCTGTGCTTCTGAGCTGTGACTTTCCCCAACAAGGTCTTGCTTAGAAATTTCCTCCCTGCAGGCTCTTGGGGCCACCCCTGGCCTCAGGTTCCCCCTGTGGGTTCAGCCAGAAGTTGCTAAGCTCTCCCTACTTGCATCTAGGGCCTCCTCCCCACCCAGCCCCATGCCCTCCTGTGAATGCACCTGTGGCCAAGACATCCAAGACTTGGGAAGTGACTTTGGGATGCAGTAAGCCCCTGGCTGCACGCAGCGGCTGGGTGTGGGTTTTTCCTCCATTTTCAGCCCGTTGTAGTCAGCGCCACTGAAATCTCCACTTTTAAATTGCCTTGATTTTCTTGGCGCACAAAATCTCAAGGGATGGGGAGATAGTGCAGCGGTCTAAGCGCTTGCTTAGTGCAAGGACCCGAATTTGATCCCTGGTGTCACATGCCTTGCTGACCCTGGAACACTGGATGCTCCCTGCCGGCCCTGGAACTGGATATGGTGGTGCCGACTGTAATCCCAGTGCTGGGGAAGCTGACATACGAGGATCACTATGAGTCTGAACTGTGTAGTGAGACGCTGTACCAAATAAAATAAAAATAATCTCAAGTCTGTGGACCATTTCAAAAGCTCACAGAGTGCTCCATGAGGCCGTACACGGGGGTCTGTGGCTTCAGGTTCTCTGGTGAGTAAAGAGGGCTGGGTCTTGTGTGGCAGTCTGCTGCATGCCTGGCAGGTGCCTTTCCCCCTGGCTCAACCCTTAGGCGGATGACCTTGGCTTCAGCAAGGTCCCCTTCAAGGACCAATCATTTATAACAAGGCTATTTTATTTTATTTTATTTTTAAAATTTATTTATTTGGTCCAAGGTCTTGCTACGCAGCTTGGACTCATAGTGAACCTCCTATCTCAGCCTCCCCAGTGCTGGGATTACAGGCTGGTTTCAGTGGTCTGCATAGCAAAGGGCAGGTTCAGTGTGACATGTGATACCAGGGATTGAACCCAGGTCCTTGTGCTTGCCAGGCAGGCGCTTAGACTGCTGAGCTACCTCCCTGGCCTGAAAACTGTTCTGTTTTTATAGGAAAATGAAAAGATTGTTGTCAAACTCTCAGGATGAACATTCAGCTCATTGTTGCTGACCCTCAGCTGCCCTCTGTCCGGGGCAGTCTCTCCTGGGTACAATGCGTCCACAGCCGGGAACACTCATGGGCCAGCCCAGGAGCCGGGAAAGAAAGAGCCCTCCCAAGGGCAGAAGAGGACATGCTGATGGGGCAGGTCTTCTGTGCTGGAAATTCTGGGGGCTGATGAGGGGGCAGTCAGTTCTCGCTGTGGATTGTGGGGTACTGATATCTGTGCGGGCCGTTACGGCTCTTCACCTGTTACTCATTCTCTCCCTGTGTCTCTGTCTCTGTCTCTTTCTGTCTCTGTCTCTTTTTCTGTTTCTGTCTCTGTCTCTTTCTCTGTCTCTCTCAACCATGGTATGATAAAGTAGGTTATAACATATTTTGAAAGTACAGATTGAGTAAGCTGAAAGGACAGCTAGAGCCAGGGAACACAGATTATTAAAATCATTCATCCAAAAAGGCAGAAAACCGCCTTATCTGCAGTCGTAGGAGAGCCTCTGGCCACCAGTGCCTTTTCCAGTGTATTCAGTCAGCAAGGAGGTTGTGGAAAGTAAGAAGCAGGTGTGTGATGAGGGAGGTGGTGACGACTCTCATTCCAGAAAGCCTTCTGTTCTCGGAAGCCTGGGGCTCTCTTGGAGGCAGAGTTGTGGAGACAGTGCCCTGCCCTTCACACTGGGCCCAGGAGGAAAGTGCCGGATAAATCAGAGTGACATTTGATCTTTAAAAATCTGCCTCTCCTACTCCAGGGAATAAAGGAAACAATTTTTTCTTTCCCCTTACCCTGCCCCAAGCCACATGCCAAGAGTTTATGCTGGTAACCATGGCAACCTTACAGGCTGTATAAGAGGATAAGTTATTGGAGTGGTCCTACCTGAGCCATCTGGTCAGAAAGGCCTCGGTGGGCCACCTGCCAGCTCTTACTGCTGTCTGACCATGCAGCAAGATGAAGGACCGCTGGACAGCTTTCCAGGCAGGCTGCGACAGGACACTCAGGAGGCCTAGTCTTAAACTACGAATTCAAAACGTGATCAAATAAACTTTTACTATGTAGTTATAGTTACGTAAGCAGACATAATTCAAGCAGTTTATCATTCACTAGGGGAAGAATCCATTTTTATATAATAAAACTAAGCCAGTGGAAGAAATCCTTTCCTCTTTCCTTTCTCCTTGTTTAAATGTGAAAAGTCAAAGAAATGGGCTGTGCCCCCAAGTGAGCAAGGGGGATGGCAGGGACCACATTCCACTGTTTCTCATCCACTCTCGCACCTGCAATCTTCCCGTTAGCCATGGTGGGCAAGACCGAGCGTAGAACCTCTCAACTTTGTTATTCCCATAACCATGGTGTAAAGATTGAGCTGAAGGGCTAGGAGTAGCTCAGTGGCAGAAAGGGGGCCTTATGTGCACGAGACCCTAGGTTAGATCGATCCCTAGCATCAAAGGAAAAAAGAAAAGAAAAGAAAGAGAGTGGAAAAAACAACAACAAAATTTTGAGTTGGAACATTGTCGGAGGACAGAAGAGAACATTTCAATAACTTTTTAAACAAAAGCAATTCCCTCTTGTATTAGGCACACCCTGGTGCCGTCCGTGGTGAGTAGATGCATGTCCCTTGGCATTTGGGGGGAGCTGGTCCCAAGACCCCGGCTGATATGAAACTCCCGAGCTGGGTCTTTCTACAGCTCACTAGTATTTCCATGAACTCTGCACCTCTCCTCCTCTGTGCGCTCGGGTTCCGAGTGCGGGTGGTGGTGGAGTGTGCACTTTGGGAGGAGGGTCCTGGGGCTGACCGAGGGCCTTCACGTGTGCTGAGCACACTCGGTAACACTGAGTTACTGCCAGCCCCTTAATACCTAATAGGGTGTAAGTGCTGTGTAAATAGCTGTCATACTGTATTGTTGAGGGAATATTGCGAGAAAAAGCCTGCGTGTTCAGTACACACACAGTTAATTTTTTTTGCCACCCTCTTTCGGTTGTGCCCACAGAACCCGCGGGCATGGAGGGCCTACCGCGCTGGGCTCCAACAAGGAGACTTTCTAGACAAAGAAAAGTGCCCGGTTGGGGGGCGGGGGGGGGAGTGAGAAAAACGACCCCGTCTCCACAAACAGCAGCCAGCCACAGACTGGAGTGGGAGAGTCTGGGAGGGACTGGATGCCTGAAAACAGCGCTTTGTGGCACAGCGGGCAATGGAGGCAGGCCGCTCCACTTGTGCTTCCGAGGCAGCTTTGGCAAGGCGCAGCGGGGGCGCTTGCTCGGCTGAGGTCAGTACCGGCGCCCGCCTCGGGGCGCAGCCAGGGGCTGACAGGGACGGCGGCGCACTCACCACCACAGAGGCACGCACAGGACCCCGGGCAGGGTCAGCGCCAGCAGCAGCATCCGCCAGTCTCTGATGAAGTAAGCAAACAGGGGCAGCAGCATGTAGCCCAACGCAAAAAATGTGCACACTCCTAAGGTGGAGAATACAATACGAACTGACTTGCCAAGGATTTCTGCTCCTGTTCAAAACAAGGGAGGAGTGTTAGCATCGGAACTCACTTCATATTTGCTTCGCATAACATTACCTGCAGGTTGGGGTTCGACCTGCGGCCACCTAGCACGGGTGAAAGGTGTGCACTTCATGGCCCAGAGCAGGAGCAGTGGCGGCGGGGAAGTAGCCAGGGGACCAAGACGGGTTGCCACGAGATTTTTTAAAGGAACCATTGATTTGCCTTTTTTTTTTTTTCTGAGGTGGGGGTCTTGACATGTTGCTTAGGTGGGTTTTGAACCTGTGAGGTCAAGTGATTCTCCCACTTCAGCACCACCCCCTTTCTACAAGTTGAACCCGGAACCTTTGCATTTAGTTATAAAACTAGCCCTTTATTTATTTTTCTTTTTAAAAAAATTTTTTGTATTTGGTACAGGGTCTCACTACACAGCTCAGACTCATAGTGATCCTCCTGTTTTCAGCCTCCCCAGTTCTGGGATTACGGGCATATGCCAGCATACCCTGACTCAGTCGCCAGCTCAGCCTGCCCCACGGGCGGGGCTGGTGTGGCATGCCGGACTGGGAGTTGAACTTGAGCTTCATGAGCTCAAGAACTTGCCAAATGCAGGCGCTTAGTCCACTGAGCTATCTTGCCAGCCCCCCTATTTTTCTTTCAGTTTGAGGTGCAAAGCTGGAGTTGAATTTGTGAGCCTCACATGCCTACCTGCAAGAGCTGGGAGACAGGCTCGTACCCTCCCGCCTATATTAGATCTACTTTTTTTTTTCAGAACTGGGGATTGAACTCAGGCCCTTGCGCTTGCCAGGGAAGCGCTTATTCCACTGAGCCAGCTCCCCGGCCCTAGATCTGCTCTTTGAAAGTCCATCTCATGGCACAGGAACGTCATCTCCAGCTGCAAGAGATAATCCCTTTTGAGAATACTGCATTTCTAGAAACAGCTCCAGCAGGGGCTGCACAGGCTTCCCAGGTGCTGTGTGGCTCAAGGTGCTGTTAGCCTGTCCCATGTCTAACTGTAAATAAACAGACACAGGCCCAGCGGGAAACAGGAAGCTCAGTTTCCTAGCTGTGGGCCGCCCTTTCGCACCCCAACTTCAGAGACCTGATAAACAGGAGCCAGCCAGCTCTGGAGGTGCAGAGCCGCAGGGTTCACTTCCCCACAGCCGAGTTGTGCCTGAGATCCGCCCCAGGTGGAGGCGGTGCTCTCCAGCCCAGGCAGGAAAGAAGGAGCTGTCCTCTCGCCCTGCTGGTGGCTGCCCCAGCTGGCCACACATCTGGGGACTCCTCAGCTTTCCCAGAAAGCACGAGGTGACTGGCACTGTCTGGGAAAGGACACACTGGCCGCTGTGGGACCCTCCGCTGCCCAGCACCATAGTGGACCAACACTCAGCACTACCGTGCCACCCTTCAGGGTTCGCAGCTTCCTGTGAACAAGCCCCTCCAGTTATAGGGCTCCAAGGCCTTCCCAGAATCCACTCTGAGTCCGCTGGCCTGGGGAGAGGACTGTTCTGCAGCAGTAGCCCAGAAAATACAAGACAGATAAATTCAAAGGTCACGTAGCTTGGCTTTCAAGAAAGATTCTCTTAATCATATTTATATGCCCCAGGCACAGATTAAGATTAACTCTAAAGAAGCAGTGACATTGCTACTTCAGCTTTCCTGTCCCCGTCCCTCTTGCTCGGTTCCTCTCACACGGTAGCACGGGGCACCTGCCTCAGTGGTTCTGTTTTAAGCAAGCACTTTAGAGTCCAGGCTGATGGAGAAGGCCAGTGCCAGGTGCCTCTGCTTCCCGAAATGCAGACCCACGCCCAGCTGCCCGGTGTGTTTCTCAGTCTATAAACTTGCTTCCAAGGCGGGGCCTGTCTTAGGCACGCCCCTAGTTGCTGAGACTTGGTGCCCAACATCCACAACTTAGGAGAGGAAGCTGTACTTTAGCTCAAGCTTCAGTCTGCAGGGGGTGGCTCCCCGGCCGCGGGGCATGGCGGAGGGGCATGGTGGGCAGTCGTGGGAGGACTCAGGAAGGCAGGCCTACCCTTCTGGGCCATGCTCACAGTCACCCACCTCTCTCAACCAGGGCTCCTTACAGCAAATCAGCTATGAGGCCCCATCATCCAGTCACACCCCAAAAGTCCTGCAGGTGACCCCACCAGGTTTTAGGGGGACACCTAGCTATCAATCTAACCTGACCTGACTTCTAGGGGGATCCTGAGTGTGATTTCCAGATTTTTTTTAAAATTTACTTTATGAATGCCTTTCCTACCCTGGCTTGGTTCCTAAATCCGTGAGCTGTGGTGAATATATGAGAAAGAATAGGAGTGCTACGTTCCTCAGCAGAAATCCACCAGGAAAACGGTAGAGGGTCTGATCGTGGAAAAGAAAAATGCACGGGCAGAGGCAAGCATCTCGTGGAGTGGGAGCCACAGGCTCCTCATCCCTCATAACCATGACAGGAGGAGAGGGAGCGGAGGATACCACTGGGCTCTGGATAAATGCCTTCATGCCGCTTGCGTCTTAGGCCAGAGCAGAGGTTTTAGAACCGTGCGGAGTGTCCACAGGGAAAAGCAGCTCTGTCAATCTGCCTCTGCCTGGTTGTGGAATAACACGAGTAGGTCAAGCCCAGAGGAGTCCATAATAGCACTACCTTCCGCCCTCAGACTAGGGCAGTCACGCCTTCTGCAGCATCTTCACCATCCTCTTCCCCGCAGGTGGCACAATTTTGGTGTAAGGACTTTGAGCTGGGTTCTAGCCTAAGTGTTTACACCTGTGGTATCTCTAAACTCTTCAAAAACAGTTCTATAAGGGAGCCGGGGAGATGGCTCAGTAGAATAAGAGTTTCCCTGGCAAGCGCAAGGGCCTGAGTTCAATCCTCAGTTTTGCAAACGAAAAAAAAAAAAAAGCCAGTTCTACAAGAACTATTGTTACTATTTTACCCTGATTCAGCTGAGACTTAAACAGCTAATTCCAATTACATAAATGTATCGTAAGGGGCACAGCCAGGATTTGAGTCATGTCTGCTTGACCTATGGATGCTGGTGTAGTCTCCAAGAACAAGTCATCCAGGGCAAAGCCCTGGTCCTGTATGGAGGTCCTCGAACTGAGACACTCATGGAGACTTGACGGGAGATGGGCTGTGCCCAGCGCGCAGAAGCGAGGATTTTTGTCCTCCTTTCCCTGGCTTGTCCCTGCACTGGCTGGAATTCAACCACTCCTTTTGAGAAGCCTCACCCCTGTGGACCTTGGGGCCTGCAGTTCATCTGGCAGTGAGACAGATGGCAGGAGGCACTCCTGACTCTGCGGAGTGGGGAGCCCCTGTCCTCCTCCCTCTCGCCCTCGGAGTTTTGCTCTAGGACCATCTCTGGGTGGTCGTGGTCTGAGCATCTCCTGAGCATGAAACTCTGACATCTAAGCCAAAGGGGCACGTCTGGGCCGGGGCAAGAACCTACGCAGCTCTAGGAGAATCTTTCCACTGGCTTTCACTTCCTCCCGAGTCAGAGCCCTTCCAAGATGGGTTAACTCAGGGCCAAGCTCCCTCTGTGTAGATCAGGACTTTCTGCGGCCGTCAGTCCCAGGAGCCATTAGGCACATGCCGTGTGGGGGACTCAGCTGCCCGTCAGTGCCCAAAGGCTGCAGTGGACCCCAGCGCAAGCAACGAAACTGCAGAGCAGCTGCCAGGATGCGGGCACGTGGACGGCACGCGGCTCCTAGATGCTAAGTCCAGGCGGCCTGACTTGATTTATACAGATGAGGCACTGTGCAAACACGCAGCAGTGCGCTCGGTTGGCCTTTCATCCAGTGCAACAGTTGAAGTGTTTGAGACGGCAGGGCGATGACAGAAGTACTGTACGATGGCCCAGTGGAAATCTGAGGCAGCTTTCTGATCCCTAGAAACTGCTTGGAAGTCTTGTCAGATTAGTAATCACTCTGCTCAGGGCACGCTAGGCCAAAGGGACTTGTCCTGTCTCTGCGTGTCCCCGGCAACGCTATCTACACAGCCCTCCCCCATGACCCATGTCCTCTGCTCAGCCAGGGAGGGCCTCCTGCGACAGTCAGGAGTGAGTCCTCCCCGCTCGCCGGGCTCCTTCCCTAGGAGATTGCCAGGCAAACAGGGCCAGTTCTGTACCCAGTTTATGTATATACCTCCACTTCCTCCTTGAAGATTTGAAGCAGCCTATAATTTGAATACAAAAAACTATGGAACTATTAAGCAAAACGTTTTTAAAAGTAAACACTTGTGTCTTAAATGAAAAGCACAAATATGTAGTTGATCACTTCGCAAGAAGTCTGGCAGTTCTTCAAGGGATGAACGCAGGAACTGAAACTATGTCCACACAACAAGTGCGAAAGTGGAAACAGCCCAGACATCTCCTCGTGAATGAAGAGGTGAGCAGTGTCGCTGCATTCATACAGTGGGATGCTGGTTCACGCTACAGCATGGTTCACTCTCCAAACAGTGAGTGAAGGAAGTTAGCCGCAAAGACCAACGCTGTATGATTTCACCTGCACGAGATGTCCAGGATCGGCAAACCCAAAAGTGGCTTAGTAACTGCCAGAAGCTAAATGAGGTCCTAAGAGCAGGGCCTTGATCTCGTGTGACTGCGGTTCTTCTAAAAAGAGACACCTTCTGAGCACAGTGGCACATACCTATGATGCCCGCATTCTGAGAGGCTGAGGCAGGAGGACAGCAAGTCAAGCCTAGCCTGGATAGCTTAGATGAAAGGAAGGAAAGAAAATGCAAAATAAAGGAGAGAGAGAGAGAGAGAGAGAGAGAGAGAGAGAGAGAGAATGAATGAGCACGTACTATTTGCTGTGCTGAACAGCTGCGCAGAGGAGGCCCCGTGACCACACAGGAGGACACAGCCGTGTGCACCCATGGGGGAGAGCTCTCCCAGCCCTGGCCCCAAGGCTGCCTGTCTCACCTTGGACTTCTATTCTCCAGAACTGCAGAGAATACATTTTTTTCTTGCTAAAGTCATCCCAGCCTGTGGCATTTCCTTATGATGTCTTATGTGAGTGACTGAAACTGGACTACATTCCAGCTTCAAAGCATCTGGGGCTCATGGTACAGTACTTGCTTACTACGCATAAGGCCTTGGCCTCCGTTTGCAGCACTGCAAGAAAAATGAAAACTTACACAAAACCCCTCCAACTATGTATAAAAGTTGCTGATAAAAGCTGCACAGTTAACATAGCTCAATCTAAAACTTGCCTGAGCTTCCTGGGCCCGGGTTGTAAAGGAAGATGTCACCAGCTACACATTCATCAAAAGGGGAACTAGCTAGGTATCGGAGGGGCAAAGCTTTGGACAGTGCAGCGCATCCAAAGAACTGTCACACGGAAGGCTGAGGGGAGGAGGCCCTCACAGTCCACGCAGCAGATGGTACACAGTGAGCTCGGAGCACGGGGATGCCGTGGGCATGCCACCCTGAGAGCTGGCAGCAGGCTCAGGATGTTATTTCTGGGAAACACTGGGAGACTGCGAAAGAGTTGGGTGTGGGCACATCAGAGTTCCTGGTCCTGATCCTCACTTCCTGCTGGCAGGACTGCCCCTGCAGGTGTAGCTACATTCTCCTGCTTTGGACAGCACTGTCCTCTTCCGTGCCTTTTCTAGGATCCTATGAGTCTCACAGTTTGAGGATTTTTTTTGTTTTTTAGAGCAGCTCTAGGAGAGGATTTGTCTCTTATTGTGTTTAGTCCCGGGGTCTGAACCCATTCCTTTCCTTTTCTTATTTTGAGATTGGCTCTTACTAAGATGCTAGGCTGTCCAGGTGCTCAGGCAGGGCTCCAACTTGCAGTCCTCCTGCCTCAGCCTCCTAGAGAGCTAGGATTACAGGCGTCAGCCACCATACTGGGAACATGTGCGTCTCTTTAGGGTGTAAAACAGTGCCCAGCTAGTTAAGTCAATTTTCTAGTTTAATGAGAATATTCCTAACACCGGAGTTGGGGGCAAACAGAAGATCTTAACCAGACCCTACTGGTTTATTTAAGTCACATTAGACCTGGTTGTTTCACCCCAGCCCAAGGAAAGGTGGATTAGAGTAAAATAACACAAAATCTGACCTTTGGCTTGAAACACCAGAGGGCGCTCCCGAGGCACCAGAGGGCCCTGAAACAGCAGAGGGCGCTCCTGCGCCGCGGGGAAGCCAACAGCCGCCAGGTCCTCGTGCTGTCGCCTTCACACCAGGCCCTGACTACCGAGTCCAGCTGTTCTGGAGCAGGCGGGGCTTTCAGTGACGCTCAGACTTCCAGACTCAGGAACCCCACACAACAAGGGATGCCAGGACCCCAGGTGCCTGGTGCAACAGGCATGACAGGAGCTGACAGGAGTCCCGTGCAACCCGCGTGCCTCGCACCGACAGCAAGTGCAGCGCATCTGGGCTCAGGCTGGCCCTCAGCCTCTTACACTCCTCAGCCCGGCGGGCTGGACCATGCTGTGGGGAGCCAGGGTGCGTGCAAGTGCCAGGGCCCGCAGGCAGAGCTTCCTAAAGGAGCCCCAGGTCTGCTCTTCCTGCCTCACACGTTCTCCAAGGAGAGACTCAAGGCCCTGGACGCACCTTGGGTGGTGCAGAGGCGGGTGAACCCGGGGACGCCGCTGCCTGGCACGTCCCACCGTGGTCCTGACGGCTGCTCCAGGTTCCACCCGTGGCACACAGCCCCCAAGTCCTCCTACGATGTAGGCCAGCTGGTGGTGGGATGGATCCTCTGTATGGGGCCCTGTTCAGTTTCTGCCATGGGTCTGGCCCAAGAAGAGCATCCATTCGGGCTTCTCAGATAGAGGGAGGGTCACCGCAAGGAGGGAGGACCCAGGAGACTTGCAGATGCGAATATGGGCCAGCGAGATAGCTCAGAGGACTAAGCACCTGCTTAAGCAAGTGCAGGGACCAGGGTTCCATCTCCACTGCCACATGCTGCGCTGGCCCCGCCCCCTGGCACACTGAGCCAGCCACCCAGATGGGGTGTGTGGCACATGCCTGTAATCCCAGCTGGCTGAAAATAGGAGGATCATTATGAGTCTGAGCTGCATAGTGAGACCCTGTACCAAATACATTGAAAGAAAGAAAGAAAAAAAGAAAAAAAAAGTCGAATAAGCCATTGCTAAGCCCAACAGCCCTGCATTCTTGGGGCCATCAGCTGCTAGGAGGGTATAATTTCTGTCCCAAGAGCATCTACTCCCCAGTTTCTAGTACCCTTGGCATGCAGCTCCCTGGGCTCACTACACAAATGACTTAAAGTAGATCTTGTCCCCTCTCCCCCCTGCAGGAAGGACAGCAGCATTCCTGCTGGAGTCTGCTAAAGCCCGCTGTCTGCTGGGACCATGTGGCTTCAGCTTCCTCCCCATCTCTTCACCTCAACAGACACACAGACTGGGCCAGAGGCAAAGAACCTTTCATAAATAATTGAAGGAATGGAATTTGAAAAATTCCATGTTGGCAATCGGACAGAGGTTGTACATGTCTTCAACTCAGATAACACTGCCTCTCCCAAGCCGACGAGTCATCAAACTCTTAAGAGCAATGAGTCACCCAGCCAGGTGCAGACTTTTGAAACAAGAGGAATCATTAGATTCCAATTAAAGGGGTGCTACATAATTACACAGTGACAGCAGATATAAACTGGGGTAGTGCCAGGCCACCGTGAATGTCACAGCAGAACTGTGGGAGTTGGCGTCTGTTGTGTCCTTCACTTCCCCCCTTCTTCCCTGTCCATAGAATGTTGGGAACTCATCCTGAGGATGGCTCTCACCAATCCTTCTATAACTCCCTCCATCCCCCCTACTCCAGAAAAGCTGGGGAAGGCGCTGGGGCCTCTTCCTAGCCCTGGCTCTGATTCTGCAGCTTGGTATTCCTAGCCACAGCCTAGTAGTAGCAGGCCTACTATCAACACAGTGAGGCTGATCCTGCACAGAATTGATGTACTTGAGGTTGATGCTGACTTGGGCAAGCCCACATCTGCCCAGATGTACTATCGTTAATCCCTCCTGTTCGGCAAGGTGCTTTTCACCTGTGTAGCAGCCCCACCCACTGTCCTAAGTTCCTTGCTAAGCTACTAGGCAGAAACCTCAGCCCTCACAGCCCAGATCAAAGGCTGTTCTTCCCCAGAATTCCCTCATCTGTTTTTCTCCTGAGCCCTGTGTTCCTAAGGATGGGTATCAGTTATTGTGTGACTGGGTTTGTTTCCTTTAATGACCAACCCCAGTGGTGGCTCCCGGGGAGAGCCTGCCCTACAGAGCCTGTGGCTACAGCTCCTATCCCAGCACACATGTGCTTAAGGTTGGTTGAGCTTTGGAAGCATATCCTAGTGTTCCCCTTCCTTCCTGGCCTTCCAGAAGCCTGAAGGGAGGAACCCTGCATCTCAGAAGCCATTCCTACCTAGTATGAAGGCCACCACATAGTTGGAGATCTGGCCCATGCCCACGATGACAAATAGCACGGTAAACATCTCCCAGTTGATGGAGAAAATCTGCAGGAAGCTGAAGCCGGTTTGCACAGCCATGGTTGCAAAGAGAATGCGCTTCCTTCCAAACCTGTGAAATACGGTACAACATGAGACATGAGACATGAAGCATGCAGGTTGCAGCAAGGCAGCGACTCAGAGCGTCTTACGGTTTATGAGCTTGGGAGGGGCCCTGTACTTACTGGCAGATTCATCCAATGTCAATTCAGTAGCTGAATGTGCTCTTAGGAGGCGGGGCCTGTTTGGAGGTGGGCACTGGCTTGGTGTATTCTCATGCCCAGTGGGTGCCCCTTCCTGGCTGCCATGGCTTGAACAGCTTTCTTCTGCCAGATGTAGTTTCCCAATCAACACTGGGCTGATCTCCAATGAAAGACTGATCCACGAGGAGAGAGCTGATAACTACTCTGCTTATTTTAGGAGTGTTCTGTCTTACACGCTCAGTGAGAACAAAGGTGTCCTTGAGGAGTCCTGCAGGTAGTTTATGAAAAGTACGTGTTCTACTTGAGCCGATAGCACTGGGAACAGCACAGAAAATGTACCCGTATTCTGCAACTTCAAGAATGTGGCTTCCTTCCAAGTCACATTATGCGCTGTCTTCAGACTCCTTAGCTGACCCGAAGGCCAGGCCACGTCTACAGCATAGATGCCAGGTGCCCTGTACACATATTTCCGGTGCTGACTTCCGCATCAGGCCCTTCCATCATGCCGTTTCTGCCTTGGAGGTAGCTGACCGAGACTGAAGCCTTGAGCCCAAGTCAACCTCTCCTTTATGTCCTAGGTATCAGGCTTTGGGTCCCAGGGATGGAACATGACTAAGGTGGCTTTTGGTACCAAGGGTAGGGCCTCTGTTGTGACTATACCTAACCATGTGGTTCAGGAGCCTTTGGAAGTTTGCAGGAGGTGTTTGGAAAGGCGTGGAGGCGCCAGGTAGAGAAGCCTCAACACTGTCAGCGGACTGGTAGGAGAATCTGGTTGGAGCTCTGAAGATCAGAATGCTAACAGAATGCAGAGAGTAAAGGCCAGGCCCAGGAGGTTTCTGTTGTGCCAACTCCACTGGCAGTCGAGCTCGAGGCCATGTGTGTTACACTCTGGTGGAAAATGTGTCTTCATTGTGTCCATGTCCTGAGACTTTGCAGGAGACTGAGAGTAAGGGCAATGGCCTAATTTACCTGGTTGAAGAAATTTCAGAGCATCTCTGCTTTCAGGCTGTGGCATGAGTACTAAAGATTTTTTTTTTTCTGTATTTTAGGGAAGGGTCTATGGGATGTTCAGAGTCTCACTGCTAGATCAGACTCGTAGTGATCCGCCTTTTTACAGCCTCCCAAGAGCTGGGATTATAGGCACACATTACCACACCCAGTCTCAATTGCCCTCTCAGTGGGGCAGGGCCAGCACAGCAGGCCCAGGGATCGAACCCCCTGGGCCCTGCACCTGCTTGCAGGTGCTTTAATCCTCTGAGCTATTTGGCC